GCCTGCAAGATGTGCTGGGGTAAAGGTGGTAGAGAACTTGTGGGACTGGCTGACCAATGACTGGTCCAGCTTGAGACCCAAGCCGTGAGAGGAAACCCATGTCTGACACTGCCTGGAGGGCCAGGAGCCAGAGGCTGGACTGCTCAGAGACCCAGGACAGAACCAAACAGAACTGGCAAAAAGAAAAAAAGTCAATGAAATGATTCCTGGTGATATTGTGCTACACTCATAGACTGGAACCTAGCATAGCCGTTGTGTGGTTGGAACCTCCAGCTCACCCCTGCACGATTCAGAAAGCCCCATTCCTGTCTCTCTCTCCTAGAGAGTCTCTGAACAGAGAAAAGGTGTGACAAAGTCAAGTTCCGAATTCCTGGAGACTATTGCAACTTCCTCCCCAGTTGCTGCCAGCAGCCCAAGTCCCCATCGAAACATTCAGCTTTTCATTGTATTTGAGCACAAACCTAGTTTGTGGTGGGCATGCCATCACCCTTTGACTACAAGCGGTATAATCTCCCTGCTTTAGTTCCGGCATGCAGCTTCTCTAGCTTTGATCTCTCAGATTGCAGAACCCTATTATCAAGGGACAGAAAAGCCATTAGCCGTCATCAGAGAGGCTCCATCCAACACCTTGTCTTCTATGCTCCAAGTGGCTTGAGTACCCCAACCTCTCTGGCTCTGGATCCTCAGGGCACGCAGATCATCTTGCAGGCTCAGGCTGGCTCCATGCCGTATCTGCTGCTGCCCTTCATCACCACCCCACATTCCAAGCATCTCCAGTACACTGGGGTTTCCACTGCAGCTGAGGCTGCACCTTCTTCACCAGTGACCTCCTGTCTTCTCTTCTGCATCTCCAAGCCTGCCACTTGGTGCCAAGCCTCACCTTTTATCCTTGACCCTCTCAACAGTGCAGCTGTCGTGCTGCCGAAACCAGTGCCAAGTTTGGTAGCCAGCTTGAGGTATAGCCTTGTCTCTCCTGCCACACCCTAGACCACACTTCTGTGTGCTGACCCCGAGGAAAAACGTTGCAGAAGACTTCAGTGATGCTAGTCTTGTTAATTACAGCATTTGTTGTACCAGCAAAGCAAAGGTGTCATGCCCACAGAGTCTTGATTCGGGTAGATCTCAAGCAGCCCTGATAGGATTTTCCGGTTCCCTCTGAAACTTTATGAGCCCGGCCTTCTTTACTTGCATTTCTCTCAACATTATCTCCCACGTTCCCACAACAACCCAATACGTTTCCAGCACTCAACGCTTTTCCCATCCCCAAACTCCCGAATCCTAACATAATCCTCCTCTAAAACAACGTGGTCAGATCCATCACAGCAAGACTTCACCCTGGTACCAATTCCTACCCTAGTTTGCTTCTCTGCTCCTGTGATAAAATATTGGCCCAAGCTGGCTCGGGGATAAAAGGGTTTGTTTCAGCTCTACTTCCACATCAGCCAAGCATCACCGAGGGAAAACAAGGCAGGAAGTCAAGGCAGGAACCTGGAGGCAGGAACTGAGGCAACAGTCATGAAGGAGCGCTGCTCCCTGGCTTGCTTCCTCTAGCTTGCTCAGCTACTTTTCTTACACAGGCCAGGCTCACCTGCCCAGAGACAGCACCGCCCATTGTGATGTGCACCTCCCCACACCAATCATTACTCAAGAAAACGCCGCAGAGATATGCCAACAGACCAATCTCACTGAAGTAATTCATCAACCGAGGCTCCCTCTTCCCCGGTGACTCTAGTTTGTGTCAAATTGACTCAATTTAACCATCATAATTCTCAAATTAATGAAATCATTAACTACCTGGTACTGGACTTTTCACTGGGGTGAAAATATTTTTTCTTTCAAGTGCCTGTTTTTATTGAAGCTTAACTCAACTAGAGAAACAAATAATAGATCCTTATTAAGGTTACACTTAGAACTAAGCACTTATAATTAGAAATATATGCAAGCATAAAATATATATAGCATATGTACTAGAAGCACATATATTCATGTATATATATATATAAGAAGCATATATCCACATATATAGTATACATACTAGAAGCATACACACACACATAGACTGTATATGTACTATAAACATATATAAGCTAGCTATTAAGAAGGGAAGAGAGAGTTCAAGCCTTAGTAATGGAGAAAGAGACAATCAGAGAAGGCCTTTGAGAAGAAATTATCTGAGCTGTATTTAGGAAATAGATGCCCAGGCACCCAAAGTAGAAGGGTCCCTCCACAGGTGCACCATATCCAAAGCCATAGGCACAAATGCTAAGTGAGCCAGCATGGGTAGAGGTATGACAAATGACTAAGACTCCCAAACTCTAACGTTCTGTAACCCTGACAATTTGCTCTGACTCATATGTTAATACATTGTTTTCATGGTGTTCTAATGAGGCCTTAATATGATCATGTTTGTCAAAGTGGGAACAAAGCATATCTGTACTCATGAGTTGAAATCCGATGTTAGTATGATCTAATTCCCGTCAGCATCACAGGTAAGCTGGCTATTCACTTGATTCTCTACAAATCTCCATGGCCACGCCCCTGTAGTGCTCTTTGCCATGATCTCCGTGAGGAGGCTATGATTTTATACTTGAGTAAAATAATGTTTTGACTTGCTTTCTAGATGGTGCAGATATATAACGTGCACCAGCCTGCCTGGTCATTAAAGCACATAACAGGTAATGTGCATAGATCCCATGATAACCCCACACGAACTGCATGCCTCCTGATGCTCATGCTGTTGTGTTGGGTCCTCCCAAGATACGAAGTTGGCCACAGGACCCTTCAACCTAGAGTATACAGCAGCAATGTTTAGCCCTTACAAACTCTGGTAGCCTCCTCGGTAGTGATCATGTGACCCTTGTATTAACATGTGGTTTCTAGCTTAGAGGCTTGAGAGGCAGCACGGACAGAATTAAGTCACATAGAAGTTGTTAGGGATACATGCCTTGACACTCCATGCGAAACTTCAAGGCACAGCCATCCCAGGCTCCCATCTGAGCCTGGTTGTCTCTCCTCCCTCCAAAGCACATGAGCTCTCAGGGAACCTGCCTTGGATTTTCCTGCTACAGCTACCAGGTGACTATGAGGAAGCAGTGGAGTCATCCAGCACCCTGATAGGCAGACAAATGGGGGAAGGGGCCATAACTAAACGGGATGGCATACTTCCGGCTTCTTAACTTCACCAAGACAAAGACTGGGACTTCCCTTCTCTCCAGGTGGACTCCTTCCAGCTGACCTGCCTGGATGGTCCTAGGCAGGCTCTGGACATGAGCTGGGGGGTCAATCAGCTCACTCTTCTGTGTATAAGCTGAGCAATCCTAAGGGAGGCCACTAAAACACTAAAGAATCCAGTCCTCCAGGGAGAAATGAACTTGGATTTCCAAATCTCCTCCCCACTTGTGGATAGTCTGTCTGTTTCTTTGTGATGTGTGTGTGTGTGTGTGTGTGTGCATGTGCATGCGCGCACCCGTATTCCTGTGCGTTTGAGAAAGCTTGTTTGCTTGCTGTGACTGCAATCTTTCTCTTGCCTTTTCACTCCTTAAATCAGCAGAGAAAACTGACCCACTCCAAGAAGATCGCCTAGACAGTAGCATTCTTGGGGGCGTATCCTCCAAGATTTCCTTCGAGGATCAAGGGCCCATTAAGGTCATATGCACCAAACCAAGCCATGAAAGGGAGGGAGAAAGACGCCATTGATTGTCCAGGGCTTCTTTCATCCTAAAATAGGGGAATCCTCTTCGCCAAGATGAGTGTGACTGGCGATGTTGTTTCGCCCCTTTCTCTGACAGGGAGGGACACTTTTTGAAAGATTTTACCTCCAATGCTTTGTATCACAGACCAAGATATACCCCCCTCCCCGCAAGATGGTTTTGGCCAAATTTCCATGCTGGCAACCACTCCTCGAATGAAGTCGAAAATCTCTTATCTGACTCCAGGGAGACTTCGTGACCTTTACTCCCGTGAGATTTAAGTCTTCACCCTTATCCTGCTAATTATAGTCTTCTCTAACTAGCAGCAGGAGTCTGTCAGTCTCTTATCGTCCCTCTGTCCGCTTATCTCGCTGAACTAAACCAGAACGGGGCCATTAGCAAAGCAGGTAAAAATATACAAGAGTTCTTTAAGCAGATTAAGCCGCTTGGTAGTGTAAATGCCATGTGCCACCCCTACTAGAGGCTGGTTAATAGAGATTAACTACCTCCCCCTACTGGCCTGAATTTGGCATGACCTGAGAAGAATGCTGGGAAACGCCTTGGGGGACTTAGGGAGCTGATCTAGAGAAAATCTTCCGAAGGAGGATCTCTGTAGCGCCCTCTACTGGATTTCACAACAAGGAGGACTGTTCAGGGGAAACCCTGTGTCTTTATTGCCCGTGCTTGGCAGAAGTGGACAACTTTCCTTAGAGATCCGTGGACAGACAGCATTAGTTTGGAAGCAGCCGGAGAGCATTGGTTTCTTTTTGTGTGTATATTCTGCCTTTTCCTTGTAACCTTTTGGGACCCAATGGGGAACTAGGCATGGAAGCAGGGAGATTCATGGTTGGAGAAGTTTCTCCCTGATTTGTTTCTCTGTGGACATCACACACCTTCCCCATTTCCCTTGGCTAGCTGGGGACTTTCAGAACTGGCCTGGAGGCCATTGCCTTATTTTTGCTTAATTATGTGTTCAGGCTATTGTTTGAGACGCACCAGGGCCCCCCCCCCCCACACCCATGAGTGATGATCACTTTAACATGCATCACTCAAACTGTTTCCCCTCCCTCCTCTCCTCCCGCCCCTCCACATCACCTCCCCCATCCCCTTCTCAGTAAGGGTAAGGCCTCCCATGGGGAGTCAACAAAGCCTGGCACACTAAGTTGGGGCAGGATCAAGCCCCTCCCCCTACATCGAGGCTAAGCAAGGCATTCCGCCATAGGGAATGGGCTCCAAAAAGCCAGTTCATGCACCAGGGACACATCCTGGTCCTAAGCCAGGAGACCCACAAACAGAGCAGGATACACAGCTATCACCCACATGCAGAGGGCCTCGTTCAGTTCCACGCAGGATTCCCAACTGGCTGTCTAGAGTCGTGAGCTCCCTCGAGTTCCGGTCAGCTGACTCAGTGGGTTTCCGCCTTATGGCACAAGAGAACGTTAAGCCGTTATACAACCTTCCGGAAAAAAAGAAAATTTCTCTTGCAGACTGACAGACTCTTCTCAGACTCTTGCTTGTTTATGGATAAAGTCAGAAGAGAACCGATGTATTTTCAGGAATTGGTGGGGGAGCATCAGAGATCTCTAGTGTACAAGGGAAAACAACAGGGACCACAAGCATGGGCAAGCTTGAAATGTTCCCACTCGGGGACCTGTTCTCAGGAAGGCTAAGGTAAAACTCCTCACGTACTCCCAGTTATCCCATACACTCCAAGAAGAGAAAGAAGGACTCATCCTTTTCCTCAAATAAGTACAAGGATCCACCGACCTAGGATCAGGATCACAGGGACAGGTACCTCTGAGAGACAAACTCCTGACCCAGTCAGACCCAGACATTCTAAAAGCTGGTCCAAAGCATTGGGCACATTTGTCCAGGCTGGATCCCTACTTTTATAACCAGGACCAGGAAAAATAATGAAAAAGGACAATGGGGAATTAATGGCCACAGAGGGCCAACCTGATAAGGGTTTTGCTCTAAGGAATATAGCTTAAGCCTAGCAATTGATTGCTTTGTGGATGGACTTCTCCCATCCACATGAATCCCTTGCGGTTCCCCTCAGAAACCAGCACCTCCCTTAGAGCCCTGCATATTTTCTAGGGGGAATCATTAGAAGAATTGGTGACTCTAGAACCAATCAAGTTCCAGGTCATCACCTTCTCCACAACTATCCTCCTGTATCGTTTCCCATTATGCCCATCAATCTAGAGGATTCCCAGGCAATTTTGACTGTAGAGGGCTGTCTTGATTAGGGCTTCTATTGCTGAAAATAGACACCATGAGCACAGTGACTCTTATAAAGGAAAACATTTAATTGGGGTGGCTTACGGTTTCGGAAGTTTAGTCCATTATCATTATGGCGGGAAGCATGGCAGCGTGCAGGAGGACATGTTACTGGAGAAACAGCTGAGAGCTCTACATCTTGATTGGTAGGAAACAGGAAGTAAGGTCCAACAGTGAGTGTAGCTTGATCATAGGAGACCTCAAGGACCACCCCCAAAGTGACACAGTTCCTTCAACAAGGCCACACCTACTCCACAAGGACACATCTCCTAAGAGTGGCACTCCCTATGGGCCAAACATTCAAACACATGAGTCTATGGGGGTCATATCCATTAAAACCACCACACGGACCATGTGACCCTTATGATTGATTTGAGGGCATGGTTCCTGGCATTGTCTTCTGCCCCTGGTCCCAGATCTCAAAGAACCACAGCCATTCAAGGCTTATTGGGTCAGTCCCTAAAACGTTCCTTTGCTCACTTTAAAATGTTGCTTGCTTGTTCCTGGAGGAACTTCCACTTCTGCTATTCTCTTAAATAGTTCCCAGACCCCTCTGTTGAGAAAAGACCCCTTATCAAAGCTCAAAGCCAAATGCTTCTTCGTCCAGGGCGGCACTGAGGTTTCCTCTAATAAAAAGCCATGTTAAGGCCTCAATCCAGACAAATGGCAACATGATAGGGAGGTCTAAAACAACCAGTCCTATGGTCATACATCAGAAACAATATCCCCTTAAGCCTCAATCAGTCAGGGACCAGTCCACATCATTCAAGGACTAAAGAAACAAGGATTATTGGTTGAATGCTCTAGTCCATACAACAGTTATGTTCTTGGGGTTAGCAAGGACCCCAACAAATGAAGGTTAGTCTCAGACCTCAGTGTGATTAATGGCATGTTGATCCCACTCTACCCAGTAGTTCCTAGTCTGTGTACTCTTCCCACTCAGGATCCCCCAACACTATCTCAAAGACAGTTCTTTTGTGTTCTGCTCCACCAAACACACAGCTTTGAAGACGGGGTTTAAACCCTGGCAAGGCAAGATGCCACTACACAGCTTCTCTTTGCTTTTTAAGACCCCCCTCCTGTAGTAGAGTGGACAAGACACCTGGACTGCTCTCCCACCAGGGTTTAGAGACATTTCTATTTGTTTGGCAGAGCTCTTCCTCAAGATTTGATGGCATGGATTCACCCAGTGATCATCCCTATTCAATATGTGGGCGATGTCTTATGTAGACCAACAGCAGAAATCATTTCCGAGGAAGCACAGAATTCTTCCTTGATTTCCGGGCTGGCAGGGACTGCAGGGTGTCTTATGAAAAAGCCCAAGTATGCAAAATCTACTTGGGTCTTGTCTTGTTAAAAGGAACCAGATCTTTAGGGCTGCAAGAGTCCCATCCATTTTGACCTTCAGGCTCCCCTAAACACTTCAACAGATGAGAGCATTTCGGGAAGTTAGAGGGTATTGTATAATTTGGAACTGCTTACACAGAGTTAGTTACACCTATGTGTTGAGTGCTGAATGAAGGTCAGACTCAGGGACTCATGGAGGTTAAAAGGACTCCCAAGTCCAAACAAGCTTTCCTAGAACTTAAAAGGTGGTTAACCCCTGTCTTGGGCCTGCCCATCCAGCCCAAGTTCCACAGGTGTGTATGTAACTGAGTAATGACACAATTCACAGGTGTTTTCCTACAGCCCGCAGGTCACCTAAGGAAGGAATTAGGCCAGGGAGCAAAGAGATGGATGACCTGGATGTTGCTGCTGCTAGACTCTGAACCCTGAGTAGCAAAAGTTTATGCTTGGGCGCCCTCTCATGGTCCACACGCTCCATGACACAGAGGTTGTACTAAATTCAAAGGAAAATCTGTGGTTGACTGACAGCAGGTTACCCAAGTATCAGGGATTTCTCCCAAGACCTGAATCCAGCTATCTGTCAGAGGAAGGGAAGGAAGGCTCTCCACTCCTCTGGAGACGTCTTCATGAAAAGCTACACATCCCATCCTGATATCTCAGGTCAGCCCTCAGAAAACCCTGATCTGGTCTTTTATACAGATGGGAGTCTCTATAAAAGAAGACATCCATTATGCAGGATATGCAAGAGTCACTAACTTTCATGTTTTCGCCTCAGGGCCAATACCTGAAAACTCCAGTGCCTAGCTAGCAGAGCTGATGGCTCCCACTCAAGCCTTGGAACTGCTGCAGGAAACAAGAGTCAGTGTCTGTACAGACCCCACTTGTATTGACTCCCATCCTCCACGGCCATGCGGCCATAGGGAAAGAAAGAGACCACCTCACTGTAGCTTAGACTCCACAAGCATTTCCCAAGCATTCCCAAGCTTCCATATGGACTCGTTTTGCTCACTCAGGTGTCTGGGTTCTACTGTCATGGGCACCAGAGGGGATGACTCGGTGGCAAAGGGAAAAAAATGATAGTTAACTTTGAAGCCAAGAGGGCTTCCTTGGAGTGCTTCATTCTCTGGGTGGAATAATTGCTTCATCTCAAGAAACCCAAATATTCTTTAGATAAAGTGGCCTTTGCCTCTAAGATCAGATATGACCAACCCCCTGAAGATGGTGGCTAACACCTAATGACAAACTGTCATTACCAAAGGTCCTACAATGGAACATCTTAAAATTCCTATATCAGATGCATTTCTTGGATGAGAAGAACATCATTGTCTTGGTATTTTCACAGCACGGAGCTTAAAAGAAACTATCTAACCAGTGTTACAGTGACATAGCAGAAAATCATCCCCCTCCTTCAATAGGCATCTTTAGTCTCTAGGCACTCAGAAGCAGGTCATTTACCCTGGACTAGCAGCTGGATTTCACTCACATGGCTAGTCAATCCAGTTCCAAGAACCTTCTAGTTTGGGTAGACACTTCTACTGGATGGACAACAGCTTTCCTGGGGAAACAGAGCCACAGAAATGATCAGGGTGTTTCTCTCTGGAAAAATTTCCTCTGGAAGGTTGGAAAAGCTAAGGATGTGTTATGACACACTTAAAGAAACCGGTTCCAGGTTCTGGCTATTACAAATAATGCTGCTATGAACATAATGGAACAAACATCCTTGTAGTACGAATGGGCATCTTTTGGGTATATGCTTAAGAGTGGAATTGCTGGGTCTTGTGGTAGACTGATTCCAATTTTCCTGAGGATCTGCCATACTGATTTCCAAAGTGGCTGTATGAGTTTGCACTCTCACTAGCAGTGGAGGAGTGTTCCCCTTCCTCCACATCCTCTCCAGCATAAACTGTCATTGGTGTTTTTGATTTTAGCCATTCTGACAGGAGTAAGATGGTATCTCAGGGTTGTTTTGATTTGCATTTCCCTGATGGCTAAGGATGTTGACCACTTTCTTAAGTGTCTCTCAGCCATTTTAGATTCCTCTATTGAGAATTCTCTATTTAGTTCTGTACCCCACCTTTTTTATGTTTTGTTTTTTCTCTTCCTTTTTAAAATTTAAGTTAGAAACAAGCTTGTTTCACATGTCAATCCCAGCTCCCTCTCCCTCCTCTCCTTCCCCTTCCTCCCTACCAGACTCCTCAGTCCCCCACTCAATCTCCACTACGATCCCCAGGGAGGGTGAGGCCCTCCTTGGAGGATCTCCAGAATCTGTCATTTCATCCAGGGAGGGCCTAGGCCCTCCCACAAGAGTCCAGGCTGAGACTCTTTGTGGAATGGACATTCAAAGTCTATTTGCATGCCAGGGATAGACACTACCCAAGGCCCTATAGATTACCTAGGCCACCTCACTGACAAATACATTCAGGGGGTCTGGGTCAGTCCCATGCTGTCCACCCAGCCATCAATCTGGGGTCCAAGAGCTCCCCCTTGTTCAGGTCAACCGTTTCTATGGTACCCCACTTTGCAATTGAATCTTTTGGTGTTTTGGTAACTAGCTTTTTGAGTTCTTTGTATATTTTGGAAATCAACCTCTGTTAGATACGAGGTTGGTGAATATCTTTTTCCATTCTGTGGACTGTCATTTTGTCTTGTTGACTGTGTCCTTTGCCTTACAGAAGCTTCTCAGTTTCAGGAGGTCCCATTTATTAATTGTGGATCTCAGTGTCTGTGCTACTGGTGTTATATTCTGGAAGCAGTGTCCTGTACCAATTAGTTCAAGGGTAGCTCCTACTTTCTCTTCTAAGAGGTTCAGTGTGGCTGGATTTATGTTGAGGTCTTTGATCCAACTGAACTTAAGTTTTGTGCGTCGTGATAGATATGGATCTATCTGCAGTCTTCCACATGGCAGCATCCAGTTATGCCAGCACCATTTGTTGAAGATGCTTTTTTTTCCATTGTATAATTTTAGTTTCTTTGTCAAAAATTTGATTTAAATAATAAAGAAACTAGTTCAAGAAACCCAGTATCTGTGGGTTAGACTATTGCCTCGACCCTTCTCAAGCTTAGAAATACACTTATTCTTCAAGGTCTCATTATTTTAGAGGTCTGCATGGCTGGCCTTTCTCCACATGACTTTGTACTGGATCTTGAAACAGTCAGATTTGTGGTTCATATCACCCAGTTGGCAATATTTTACCAGATTTTGTCAGGACTTCAGGCTGGACTTACCAGGGAAGAACAAAAAAGATTCCCCTTTTCTGTCCTGGGGAATTAGTGCCAGTCAAGGTGCCGGATCCTTGCCTATCCATGGGATGAGACTTGTGACTTTATCACATCGTGTGTCAACCTGTGTACTGCTACCTTCTCCCCTGAAGTTATAGCTGACCCTACAGAAACTGGAAAATCCAGTTAAACCTGTCAGAACCTCAGGTGGCTTTTCAAACACAGGTGTTATACAAACCCAAAGAGGGCCCCTTGATGGAGCCATTCTGCTGAGGCATTGTAGTTTTCTGACTCTGCATAGTTATGCCTTTGCTTACCAAGTGTGCACCAACATACTCACTGGTGAAATTCCCCTCAATAATAAACTTTCTTGTAGTTCAGAAAGAACCTCTTATAATCCAAGCCCTCTCCCCAATCATGGCCCCAGAATTCTGATTTCATTGCCCCAAGCTACAGGGAAGTAGCTGATGGAAGTGATGCTTATAACATCATGGATTCCGGTGCTATTGCGGGATGTATTCCAATAAAAATCCCTACTGAGAGGCACCTACAGGTTTTCAGCCCTACTCCTCACTCTTACCTGCGTGAGTATGGGGACGATTGTTACTCTGAAATGAAACAGTAGAACCCTAGACCTTTACAAAGAATCCTTCTCAGGAATTCTTTCCTATCTTAGCCTTGACAGCAACAAGACCACTCCATTTAATCTCGTCTGGGATGGTACCCATTTTAAAGACCAAAACTGTTACTGCCAATACAATGAATACTGCCCCCATTCCCACGTCAGGGATGGCTAACTGGTTATAAGCTTCATTCCTGGTCAAGAACCTGATCAGTTACATAAGGGTCATTGTAATATAGAGCACTGTCCTAAGAGCTCCCTGCTTGTACTTGTGGGACGAGTGGGACAGCCTTCTTCACAATGCATAACTCACAGTGGACGATGATGGTGAAGATATCATTAACCTCATTGATTCTTGTAACAAACAAAAAGGGTTCTTTGGGTGGTTTCCTTGCTTGTACTCTTCCTCTAATAAAGGAAAAACTGCTCCAACTGTTTTGCTTTTAGCAGAAGTGACATATTAAAACAGTAGTTATAATCTCATTTTCTGTGTTACAGATGCTACCTCACCCATGTAGTGTACACCAAGGGACACGATGTCATCGGATGGTTGTCCTTCATCTCTGGAGCTCTGTTATCTACCAAGTTCAACCTTGGCTTCTTATGTATTCCTCTTCTGAGCACTGTGACTGCTGTCTGTCTCCATGCTGCTCATGTTGTCAGCAGGAAATAGCCAGAGATACTGTTGTGACAGTCCCTAAATAGCACTTAAAGTGACCTTGGTGTGGTGTGTGTGAGAAAATTCAGGGGTCAGATAACACTTGAGGTTGTTGGAGTAGGAATAAGAGGTCATAAATAAACCACAAAATGGCAACGTCTAGCTTCTTACTCGCTGGGGTGGGCTCCCCTGACCCCCGTGAGTCCCTTCTGCATAAATGATACATGGAACAACCACCCTTAAGACCTGTGAATGGAGTCATTAAGTGCAATCATGGAGCTTTCTTTGTTCAGAAAAACTCAAGCTGAACTTTTAAGGCGTAAAACCCTACATTCTATGTGTGGTGAGTCCCTGTTGGTTTTTAGTGTTACAGAACATAAGTAAAGCAAGTTTGGAGTTAGGAAAAGCTTATTGTATCCTGTTTGTAGGCCACTTTTACATTGGCTTTTTGTCAAAGCCATTAATTTGACTTAAAAATTCTTTCATTACTATGTCCATTACTTTGGAACTTTGGCAAAATCAGGGCGTTTCTGTGGCATTCTACTGTCTAGTCCACCGCTGGAAAAGTGAGGTAAGAGATATGAAGTAGACCTCATGGATACACATCCTGTTTATGGACTTAGTGACCCGTGGGTCATAGACTCTTAAAGACCAAGCCAATGACCTTCTTCCTCTGTGCAAAGCTCTGAGCCCAAGCCCATGGGACATTCAGAAGGAGCTACTCTGTGCTCTCTGTCTCCAGCAAACATAAAGATTACCATTTTATATGACAGTGGGGTTAGAGTTGTGTTTATTTATTTTTTCCTTATTATTAAAATTTCCATGAAGGATATGAATTCTTTTGCAATATAAAAAAAAACAAAAGTTATTTTTGAATGTGAGAAATCTTGAAATCATTTGGCCTTCCTTTTATATTAAGCAAGAAATGTATCCGCCAGTATTTTTATATATATTTTATTTTTAAATTTAAATTAGAAACAAGGTTGCTTCACATGTCAATTCCAGGTCCCTCTCCCTTTCCCTTCCCTCCTCCTATGCCCTTCCACCAACCCCCCCCAATATCCCTTCATTTTCCCAGGGAGGGTGAGGCCCTCCATGGGGGTGTTCATAGTCTGTCATTTCATCCAGGGCAGGGCCTAGACCCTCCCCCAAGAGTCCAGGGTGAGCGTGCATCTCTCATTATTGGATGGGATCCCAAAGTCCATTTGTATACCTGGGATAAATACTGATCTACTACCCAAGGCTCAATAGATTACCTAGGTCTCCTCACTGACACCCATATTCAGGGGGTCTTGATCAGCCCCATGCTGGATTCCCAGGCATCAGCCTGGGATTCAAGAGCTAACCCTTGTCAGGTCAGCTGTTTCTAGGGGTTAAACCAGCCCAGTGTTAACCCCTTTGGTCATCAATCCTCCCTCTCTGTCACTGGATTTCTTGAGTTCAGCTCAGTGCTTAGCCTTGGGAGTCTGCCTCTTCTTCCATCATCCACTGAATGAAGGTTCTGTTTCCCAGACTCTCTGGCCATGGGATTGTAGGCTGGCATTCCCCAGATCTATGTCTAAAATCCATATATGAGAGAGTACATGCCATGTTTCTGTTTTTTGTGACATCCTCCAGTATTTATAACTGGATTGCCATTGTAACAGTGTGGTTTAAGGATCCCTGAACATATCAAGGAATGAAAACTTAGTTATAACCCTAGTTACAACATAGACACTCCTCTTTGCAAACAGACCCTCTCCCCCTGATTCACACAGAAAGAGACTTAGCCCCTTATCAGTTGTTTTCACAGATAGAATTTGTGCTGTGAAGAGACTGCTTGACTTAAGATGAAAGTCCTGTCACCCTTTCGGGACACTCCTTTGTCAGATATTCCTACTTTCTGTTGAATTTTATGATCTCAGTTTCCAAGCTTCCTCCCCAAAAGGCAGGTACTTGAGAGTTTGGGCCACGCAAAGAGATAATGGCTTCAAATGAGTTAATAGTACCCATTAAAAAATAATCTGCCTAAAATGACTTTGTATTCTATAGAATTTTTCTTTTTCATCATTATTTGCCAAAATAGAGAAGAATATTCTTTATAACACTGAAGGGAATGTCAGCAAGGATATTTACCTCTTCATGTCAGAGAACTAATTCATCAATGGAAATAAAATTTAATCAGGAAAATACTGCACTATTTTTATAAAAAAAATTGAATATCAAGTCCCATACAAGAACCCGAAGAAAAGGAAAGTAATGGATAAAATTTGTTCCTGAATTGTTGGAAAAGCATAGGATCCAAAGGACAAACGCCTTCTAAGAGAAAAAATATTTTTATTGAATTTTGGCTGCAATATAAAAAAATCGTAGAGGTAGAGAAGACCTTGTTTACCACACAGTCATCTAGACACTCAACTTAAAGACAAGAAACAAACATTCAAATCAAAGCATATTTACTTAAATATGCTTGGCATCTGTCAGTTATTTGAGAATTTTCCTTCTTCTCTGACAAAGTAAACAGTAAGAATTCATTCTTACTCAGCAGGAGACAAGTCATCAGGAGTAAGTGACTGATGGGGAAGCCCTTTGTATATGTCAATAAAGCACTGTTGGCCAATAGGGAAGCAAGATAGGTGGGACTAGGAGTTGAGGAGGATTCTGGCAAAGAGAGACACAGGCAGACATAATGTAGCCACCATAGAAGTAAGAGGTCCCTTTTCTCCGGTAAGAGAAATACTTAGACTAACAATTATGGGTTAAATACATAAGTCAGAGCTAGCCAGTAAGAAACAAGCACGGCCAACAGCTTCATAGTTAATATAGCATCCTGTGTGTTCATTTGGGACTGATGCGGTTCTGGAACAAGGCTAGTGGGAAGACTTCACTCTACAAGTGACAACCAACAATGTAAGGGCACCTTCCCATGAAGAGGAGCATTCAATCTCTTGGCTTTGTTATAACTAATGTCCCAACTATGCCTCTGTGGTCCAACTAGACCACTTCTCAGATAGATGCCCAAGGGGATCTAATTCAGCATCCTACGCAGACACTTCCATATCCATGTTTGTTGCTGTACTATTCCCAAGTGCTAAGACAAGGACCCAGTTCAGATGTCCACTAACAGATGCGTGAGTAAAGAAAACGTGCTGTCAATCTACCCATCTGTCCTTTTAGCCAACACGTGAATGCCATGTTGTGTGCACGTGTAACAAAAAAGCAGAAGGGGACTTGTGTGCTTGAAGAGGGGTAGCTGGAACACAAGGTACAATGATTTGTATGTGTGAAAATGTCATAGTGAAGCCTATTCCTTGGCAAACAAAACTAAAAATATTAAAAAGAAAACATGCAGTTGCAAGGAACTGAGTAGTTGGGATGTAAGTGGGAAGTAATAAATAATGCAGAGGTTAAGACAGCTGAGCTAAGAAAGAGATGTGTTGAGAATTTCTGCAGTAGAATTTTGAGCAAGGCAGTTTGCCTTTCTAATTTCCCCCAGTGGAATGAAATAATGAGGGTACTTATCTCATATTCTTACTGGGAAAGAATAAGTATAAAATGTTGGCACACTCAAGAGGTTACAGGGAATAAATAAACAATGCCAGAATGGTTAATAAAAAACTCTAGGAGAACATCACAAAACAACAAAATGGCAGTGATTAATACTCATGACCCCACAATAACTCTTTTTTTCCTTTTTAAAAAGTTTTATTAAAATAAATTATGTCTTAGAAACATGCATGCATATTTCACATGTCAATCCCAGCTCCCTCTCCCACCCCTCCTCCCTTGTCCCTCAACAAGCCCTCCCCCAGGCTCCTACCCAATCCCCACATCATTCCCCAGGGAGGGTGAGGCCCTCTTTTGGGGGATCTCCAGAGTCTGTCATTTCATCCAGGGCAGGGCCTAGGCCCTTCCCCATATTTCAAGGCTGAGAGAGCATCCCTCTATGTGGAATGGGCTCCCAAAGATCATTTGTACACCATGGTAAACATTGATATACTACCCAAGGCCCCAGAGATTTCTGAGGCCTCCTCACTGGCACTACATTCATGGAGTCAGGATCAGTCCCCTGTTGGCCTCTCAGCCATCAGTCTGGGATTCAAGAGCTCCCCCTTGTCCAGTCAACTGTCTTTGTGGGTTTCACCAGCACGGTCTTGACGCCTTTGCTCATCACTCCTCCATCTCTGTCACTGGGTTCCAGGAGTTCAGTTCAGTGTTTAGCTGTGGGTATCTGTCTCTGCCTCCATCGGTAACTGGATGAAGGTTCTAGGATGGCATATAAGGTAGTCATCAACCTTATCATCAGAGAAGGGCTATTAATGTAGTCTCTCTGCTATTGCTTAGTTTGCCAGTTGGTGTTATCCTTGTAGATCTCTGGAATTTCACTAGTGTCAGCTCTCTCCTCAAACCTATAATGACTCCATCTATTATGGTATCTCTCATCCTGCTCTCCTCTATTCTTACCTTGACTTAACCTTCCTGCCCCCATGCCTTCTTCTCCCCTCCTCTTATCCCCCTTTCTTTTTCCTGGTTTCCTCTCCCCTCCCCCAATGTTCCCAATCTACTCAGGAGATCTTGCCTCATTCCACTTCTCTAGGGTATCATGCATATCTCTTGGGAACTTCCCTGTTTCCCAGACTCACTGGCACTGGGATTGTAGGCTGACATGCTCCTGATCCATGTCTAATATATATATATATATATATATATATATATATATATATATATATATGAGTGAGTACATACCATGTTTGTCTTTTTGTGACTGGGTTACCTCACTCAGGGTGGTTTCTTCTAGTGCCATCCATTTGCCTGCAAATTTCAAGATTCCATTGTTTTTTTCCACTGAGTAGTACTCCATTGTGTAAATGTACCACATTTTCTCTATCCACTCTTCAGTTCTGGGGCATCTAGGTTGCTTCCAGGATCTAGTCGTTACATATAATGCTGCTATGAACATACCCACAATAACTCTTGACATTAACTGTCTTAGTTCTTAGGTAAAGAAGCAGAAGCTATCAGGTTGGATTAACAAATAGGAGTTATCTTTTTGTTTCCTCCGAGAAACATGCCTCACCATCTAACAGTAGGCACTGTCTTGCTTAAAAGGATGAAAGAAGGTATTCCAAAACAAATGAGACTAAGAAAAAAGTAGATGTAACCATTGTAATATCTGG